TGCTTGAACTTTTGTTTCCAATTCTTGTTACTGTAGATTCAATCACTCAACTCCAGGGTGCAGTTCATTCACTTGTTCAAAAAATCCAAGCTTTTATCTGCATGCTTGATGTCTATATATTTATGGATGTCTTGGTAAACAATTTATTCTTTATTCTTTGATTTTAATTTTGATATATTAATTCTGTTTTAGAATTGTGAATCAATATGAAAATAGCAGTAACAAGAATTCTTAGGACTAACTCAGGAATAGTCCAATATTCATGTTGTTCTGTACAAATGGTTCAATGGCTAGTGTTTTGCTTGAATTTAATATTTTCTTTGCAGTTTAATTTGATTTTATTTTGGTCTGATTTTTTTTGTTTGTTTGTTAGAACTCATAGTTTTTAGCTTGTAGTTTTTTGAACTTTTCTTTCTTAAGCAAATTTTGAAGGCCTTTTTTCTTACCTTGCTTCTTTAGATTACTTGGTTTCCTATTATTTCTTCTATGTGATTAACCTCTTTTTTATTTTTTATTTTTTATTTTTTTTTGATTTGTGAACTTGATAATTCAGGCCTTTTTTTTTATTTTTTATTTCTTTAGTAATTGTTTAGCAAGTCTGACTGAACTTTTGTTTCTAATTCTTGCTACTGCAGATTCAGTCACTCAACTCCTGGATAAGGTTCATTCACTTGTTTGAAAAATCCAAGCTTCTGTCCCCATACTTGTTGTCTATATATTTATGGATGTCTTGGTAAAACAATTTATTCTTTATGCCTTGATTTTAATTTTGATATATTAATTCTATTTTAGAATTGTGGTTAATTATAAAATTTGAGGAGTTCATTATTTTTATTGGTGAGACCATATTCATGTTCATCTTTGTGCTGCTCTTCATTCTTTTGTGACCCAGAAATTATTTGGGATTGAAATGTTTAGGGATTAGGAATTATATATATATATTATATATATTTTTGATAAATAAGGGATTGGGAATTATATTTCAATCAATATTTAAACCAACCTTGTATGTGTATGTGTATACATTTCATTTTAAAGGGTTGCTTTGTTTTACAAGGAAACCTTGAGTTGATTTAAAGCTATGAATTGTGGTTGATGTTTAAGACCCAAGTTCTTGCATGGTTTTAAAGTGTTTTCATGTGCAATTGCATTCATGTTCATATCATAAACACGAAAGAAACTAAAGCACAAACGTTATAACCAAACGGTTAAGTTTATGTTAATTTTTTGAGCATACACCATCAAGTCGAATAACTGATCAATAGCATCTTAATTTTCTAGGAATTCTACTCATTAATACTTGATAGAGCTAAATCTCAGAGCCATTTTCCTATCAAGTATGGCATTGATGGATTGGATGAGGGTTTAATTACACTATAGTTTTTGACACAAGATTTCAAGCTTCTTTCTTCCTCTTTTTGGGAAAATAAATAAATGTTCATATGAGATTCAAATAGCTCTATGTTTTTTCATTTTTCCTATTTAGTTTTTGTGTGTTGGTGGTAGAGTAAGTTTTCTCATTTTTTTTAAAAAAAAAAATTTCTTTTCCACTTTAAAACAATGGATGTGTATATATATCTGAAATATGGAAGAAGTGTTACAACTTTGCGATCTAAGAAGGTAAATTTCTTGGAATTGACCAAACCCTTTCAGTACCAATGGTTCAATCGCTATTATTTCTTGCCCTCCTTCTATAGATTACTTGGTTTCCTATTATTTTTCCTCGTTTGATATTTTGGCACTTTCTAATTGAAAAATCTAGAAATTCGCTAGATATTAATTTGTGATCATGTATCAATTTTAAGCAATAAAACAATCCCAATCAAACAATCAAGACAAATCGACATAACGATTTTAACGTGGAAAAACCATAATTGGAGCACCTCCAATTGTGATAAAAAATCACGGGCAACAGCCACAAAACAATCCACTACGAAGATATAAAGGAATTACACAAGTATACTCTCAATTACCTAGCGAATCCACGCCCAAATTGAACCAACCCCTATGCGCCTCTTCCAGCCCCGTCTTCACCTCAGAATTGTCTTGACGATGAGCCACTTCAGAATCCACCAAAGCTTCAGGCTCGAATTCTTTAGAATCCACCGAAGAACAACTCTCTCTTTTGTATAGAATAAACAAACAATCCTTTGATGTATCCTCCTTAAACTATGAGTTGAATACTCAATGAAACATCAAAGAAAACTAGCAAAATAGCCCCAGATATAAACCCAAGAACCCAAGAAGAAGATCTGGAGGCGTAACCCTAGATTTGGAGCAACATGCGAATTTATAGAATCTGAAATCGCGAGGTTCGCTCGAGCGTGGGAATGGACGCTCGAGCGGGGACACTATATGACGTGTTCCAAACTAGGATGTCCATATGTGAGTTATAGTCCATGAATTCATCATGTTTTGGAGTGAATTGACTCATTTGATCATGCATTGGAAGCTTTGAAGTTGATTAAATTCATGCATGTTGCATGTTCATCATGTTCTTGAAGTTTTGCTTGAAAATGGGTTCAATTGAACTACCTTTGGGCTTTGATTTTGCAAATTGATCTTTGAAACGTTTCATATTATGAGTTTTAAAGTGTTTTCCAGAAAATTAGCCCAAAAGGATCTAATTTGATGCTTTAAATGTTGAATTTCATGCTTGGAGACAAATCTGGAAATTCCAGATTTTGGATCTACGCTCTAGCGAGGAACTCCACGCTCGAGCGTACACTCTGAGTTCATGCAGTCCGCTCGAGCGAGTAAAGTGACGCTTGAGCGTGAAATTCTTGTATCCAGCATTTTGCATGTGTTTACAGTCCGCTCGAGCGAGGACTTATGTCTCACGCTCGAGCGAGGGTCGAGCGCCCGTTGAGCGTGAATTTCATGGATCCAGTACTTTTACAGTCCGCTTGAGCGAGGAAAGTCACGCTCGAGCGTAGAAAGCCACGCTCGAGCAAGACCCCTGTTTTCTGAAAATTCTAAAAAGTGTTTTAAAGTGCTTTTTTGCATCCTCATTCCATCCTAGGCATTCCTAGGCCTAGTTTAAGGCATCTTAATAAGGATATTGCTTTAGAACCACACCGAGTTAAGATAGGGACTAAGTTATTGTTTCCCAAACGTGCAACTTAGTGTGTGTTCATCCTGTAACTGTGTAGGGTTGGCATCCGAGGACGCTCACTAGCCTATCTGTAGCCCAGAACTCTGTGAGTAACAATGTTGTAAAGATATATTCAATCGTGAATAATTTCTGAATGATCAACTGTACTGCTTTCTGAAATAATATTTCTTACTGAATGAATGCTTATCCTATGTGCAAACTGTATTCATGGTATCTATAGCAATTTACTGTTACTATACTGTACTGCTACTGTCACAGAGATCTCTGTCGGTTCCCATGTTTGGAAGCACTATTGTTTACTGATATGATGGCCATTAACTGACTGTTCGGTCTGTTAAGACCTACTGTATTGTTTGCTATTGGATGTACCACTTATGACTGCTATGATCGAATAACTGATATACTGTTCAAATAAATGTTTTTTAATATTGAAAGAACATTCATTCCTAACCCCTTTACGCATATATTATTCATTGGGTTTTAGCTTATTGTTTATATATATATGTAGGTGTCCAGGCATCGGATCGGAGCTAGGAGCGTTGGGTTTAACTTCCATTTGTCAAGCCAACCACTGTGCCTCACTGAGAGGTTTCAAATCCTTCAAGCTAGGGCTTTTTGGGGTGTTTTAGATTCCCCCTTTCTGTTTCTATTTTGTGTAGACTGTATGAGACTTATACTATACTGTCATGGTAGGGATTTGGTCCCTAACCTAAATGCTTGTATATGATGTATGTATATACTATTATAGTTTGAATGTGAATATGTTATGAAAAGTCTTTTTGCATACAGAATGTCACAGTTCATTGGACATCTTTTATTACTGTTTTGGCTTCCGCCAGCCCCTGTACTCTGTATTACTGTTATTACTGTTAAGCAGGCCTTCGGTAATCATGGATTACTGGCCGGTTACGGTACTAAACCCATAGGGGATTGGGTCGTGACAACTTTGTTAATTTTTTCTTAGGATTTTATCAAACACGTGGTGAACAATGTATGGAAGCCAAAACATCTCAATCTCTTAGTCAAACATATTTGCGAACACATGGTGGACCAATCATCTCATAACAAAACAAACACAGTATCAATAAAATAAGCCCAATGTATGGAAGCCAAAACATCTCAATCTCTTAGTCAAACATATTTGCAAACACATGGTGGCTATATCATCTCATAACAAAACAAACAAAACCTCAATAAAATAAGCCCATGAATGTGTATCATAACAAAGATAGAGAGAGAGAGAGAGAGAGAGAGAGAGAGAGAGAGAGAAGATGAGCATACCAATTATTTTGTTTGCTATAGATACAGATAGTACCAAAATCAGCAGCAGAAGGTATATATATATATAATCCTATACACTTGGCCAGCTGATGCAAGCCACATGTAAGACAATCGGTGATTTGTAGATTGGAAAATTGGAACAACATAATTTCTGAATACCAATTTATTACTTAGCATGACTCACTTGCATAATTCTGCATCTCGAGTAAAACACCAGGGCAAATAGGAGAGGAAAAAACAAACCAAACCGATTCACCAAACAGGGGATGTATGGACATACATATAATGAGCTATTGCCGCATAACCCTTGCGCATACACCAACATCACCGTTTGAGAAAGACAACAAACCACACCGTCTCACCTCCTTGGAACTCACAGGTCAAGCGGAACAGTCATCAGAAGAAACTTCCAGCGCTTCCATGTGCAGATGTTTGTTTTTTTGTTCCTATGTTGAAACTTCAACCAACTAATATATTAGGGCACTTTAGACAATTTCATGCATTAGATACAAAGGGACCTGCTTACTTTCATTCATATAGGTTATAGATTAGCCATGGAGGTCACAGTTTTTTAGATTATAGAAGAAGATCAAGATCAAATTCATGGTGCCTATTCTGATTTTTTTGATTTCTGGGTTTTATTCTTTGATAGAACTCCAAGGTGGGTCTTGCAAATTCATGGCGGTTTCTAGCTAAAGTCCCATTTCTTTTCTGGTCCGTAGTCTCTCTCTCTCTCTCTCTCTCTCTCTCTCTATATATATATATATATATATATATATATCTATATATCTATCTATCTATGTGTGTATGAATATTTGATGGGTTTTGGTTTTGATGATTTGTTTTGGGTATGAACAGAGAAGACTGATGTTGAGGAAGAGATCAAGAGCAACAAGTAAGCAAGCTCTAATGGCGGATCATGGTTATTCACCATCACCGATGGAGCCTTTTCTTTTGTTTCTTGAATTTTTTTCCTTAGGCATTGGAAAGGTAGGCCTCTTCTAGATTCCTCATCTCATGCTCATGTCACAAAAAAGTTATCATATTCCCTTCAAATGCTTCTTGACTTGATGCCTTTTTGTTCTTAAAAACCTCCACTTCTCTGCATTTCCTCCTCAGAGAGAGAGAGAGAGAGAGAGAGAGACAGAGGATTGTGAATTCTATGGCTTTCTAGCTATGTCCACCAATTGTTCACTGTACCACCATGAGAGCTAAGGTACAGACCCAAAGAGGGATGCGCCGTAGTGAGAGAGAGAGAGAGAGTTATCAGTGAGAGAGAAAGAAGAAGAAGAAAAGAAAAGGCCAAAAAAAAAAAAAAAACCCCCCAAAACAACGCCGTTTTGGGGGGCTGCCGGGTAGGGCGGCCGAGGATCCGGATTCAGAAAGACCTAGGATCCAAAAACACATTTATTAACTACCTTTAATCGCACTGTTTTAGCATTACTAACTACAAACTTTGTGTAATGGGAAATATTAATTATCCTATTTGGTTTTATTTTCAACATTTCATTTTTTAAAAATAACTAGTTTTATTTTATTTTATAAATAAAAAAACACCAAAAACATATTTTAAACAATTATTTTAGCCAAAGAAAAGAAAATTATGCGAAAAAGATGAGGGTTAGAATAGTCAATGGAAAGCAAGATTTAAATAAGTGGCCTTCATCAAGTGAATAAAAATAGATATATTTAAAAAAATCTAAAGGCCTACGATCCAAAAACACATTTATTAGCTACCCTTTAATCACACTGTTTTTAGCATTACTCGCTACAAACATTGTGTAATATGTTATCCCAGTTAGCATCTCCTATTTGTGTGGTGTCGCCTTTGGGTGGTGAGTTGATCCTGAAACAGGGTGTTAGAGGATGTGATATAGAGGTCGCCGACTATAGGCTTCCTTTTCCGTTTGTTGTCATGCCTATGAAGGGTTTTGATGTTATTTTGGGTATGTTAGTACTCCTTTTGTGTAACCAAGTGTTAACTTGGAAAGCTGTAAGCCCGTAGGGCATTTTGCTTTTGTTGTTAACATGTAATACTTATGTAATAAGACTCTGAAGAAATGGAAGAATATGGTTATCTTATATGTTAATGAATCTCTTAATTGATGGGTTTAATGCTTTTATTTTGAGGGCGTTACACCAAGACTGTTCATTGACACTGAATCTGTATTGAGCCTAACTTTTTTGGAACGCATTTTGCCCAACTTCAATCCTTGAGAAAAAATAAGGGTAAACTACCAATAGGTCCTAATAGTTGGACTTAATTCCTATCAAATCCTATTGAAAATAAGTCTTGGTAAAATTGTGGCTAAAAATATTTTTTTTGTGACAATTTTTTATATATGTTGCTAAAAATTGACAATTAGTAACTTTTTTTGTCATGATTTTTTATAAATTGTTGCTAAAACTTACAATTAATCACTTTTTTTATGACAAATTTTTCTCATAGGACCTATTAGACAATAAGTCCACTTATTAGGACTTACACGTAACATGAGAATTTTATTTTATTTTTTATTTTAAAATTTAATGTGTATTATTCTTATTAGTAAATTTATATTAAGATATAATAGAAATTAAAATTTCAAAATTTTAATTAGATTTACTAAGTTATTATTTGAGTACAAATAGAATCACCCGAAAGATATATCTATATAATAAAGTATGATGGTTTTTGAATTTGTCCTACACACATTTGTCCTACTAGGACATTTAGATGGCTTAGATCTATTCAAATTATAAAACAATGACTGAGATATATTTTTCAAAAAATATCATACATGTACATTTTCTATTTTCTACTTCTCTCTTACTTTTTCCTTTTCTCACCTATCCTTCCATGATCCCATGATCCCACCTTTCCCTCTCTGTTTTTTTTTAATTATTATTTTCTCCCTTTTTATTTTTCTCTTTATTTGTTTATTTTTTTTCTCCTTTTTGTTCATTTATTTTTATTCATATTATATAGAAAGGTCTATGATTCCAAAATTAGGAGCCAGATTTTACTTTGTGTAGTGGAGATTAAATTAATGAATTTTATAGTCCACAAATTAAATGAATTTGAACAATTAATTATTATACCTGATAGATTTCATAAATTTATACCTTATATGAATCTTCAACATCTATATAACAAAGCATGATAATTTTTGAATTTGTCCTACACACATTTATTCTACTAGGACGTTTGAACCGCTTAGATCTATTCAAATTATAAAACAACGGCTCAAATATATTTTTCAAAAAATATCCTACATATACATTTTCTACTCTCTCGCTTCTCTCTCTCTCTCTCTCTCTCTCTCTTACTTTTTCCTTTTCTCACCTATCCTTCAATGATCCCATGATCCCACATTTCTCTCTCTTTTATTTTTATTTTCTCCCATTTTTATTTTTCTCTCTATTTGTTTATTTTTTTATTTTCTCCTTTTTGTTCAATATATTTGACACATATTTCCATAGAATGTATGTATGCCCGTAATACACTAGGACATTATGGGCATACATACAATTTCCATATAATTATATAAGCAAAAGCAATATTATATGTATGCCCGTGAAAATTGTATATATGCCAAGCATATCTATCTATTTAGCTATATATTACATAAGCAAAAGCGAGTTTTCGTGAAGAATTTTGTGAGAACTCCAAAATTTTATAATAAATATGTGATTTTATCAAATTAAAAAATAAATTTAAATATTGTTGGGATTACAATTATATTCTAATCCTAACATTATTTACATCGTGCCATCAGACATGGGCATATGCTACAGGCTCAGCCCTAAGATTTCCGAGGCCCAAAGCTGATAATCAACTAATAAATTTCTGAGGCCCTTCACATTTTTTTTTTCATTGAATGAAAAAAAAAAATTTGAAAGTAAAGGACAAAAAATTTGTGTCAAAATCACAAAAAATCACTACAAGAAAAAGCAGAATTGCCAACTAAAAATAGAATTTTCGTCGCTGAAAGTAGCAGAATTGGCGACTAAAATGGAATTAGTAGCCAAAAGTGAAGACTTTTGGCTACTAAAACAGTTTAGTAGCCAAATGTGTAGTTATTGGTGACTAAAAATCAATTTAGTCGCCGATTATATGGGTTTTAGCGACTAAAAAAATTTTAGTAGCCAAAAGTGAAGGTTTTTGGCGACTAAAAAAATTTAGTAGCCAAAAGTATAGGTTTTGGCGACAAAAAAATGGTTTGGTCCCCGATTATACGTGTTTTACCGACAAAAAAAAATTTAGTAGCTAAAAGTGTACAATTGGCGACTAAAATTCAGTTTAGTCGCCAAAAGTGGTTATTTTTAGGCAGGAATTAATTTTTTTAGCGACTAAAAAATAATTAGTAGCCAAAACTATAGAATTGGCGACTAAAAAACAGATTTAGTCACCAAAAGTGCTCTCATTTTTTTTTTAGTAAATAATTTATTTTTTACATAAATTATTGAATAAAAATAATTATGTTTATATATATAGTTTTATATTAATACGGGTCAATATAGTATATAAATAATATATGTTACATATATATTCATGTGATGTTATAGTGGCATAGTGAAGAGAGTGTATTGCTAAAGGTTTAGAATGTAGAAGGTTGGTGGTTCGAATCTCAGAAAAAGCAAAAAAGTTAGTATTTTTTTTTTTTCACGGAACAACCTTTGGCGACTAAAATTATTGGTCACCAAAAGTTCCTTTTGGCGACTAAATGGTTTAGTCGGAGATTCATTGACTATTGGCGACTAAAAGATTAGTCGCTAAATGTATAATTTTAAAAAGTGTAATTGACTATTGGCGACCAAACTTTGGTCGCTAAAGACCTGTTTTTTGCCGACTAAAACTGTTTTAGTCGCCAATACCTCCGGGGACCATGTTTTCGCGACAAAACCGGCGACTAAAAAATTTAGTCGAGGAAACTAAAAAGTTGACTTTTGGCGACTAAAAATTTAGTCGCCAAAGGTGCTTTTTCTTGTAGTGAATACTTAGCATTACATTACAATAACTAGTAAGTATCACTTGATCCTCACTCTTCTTGTATTTTTAGAAGCAAATAAATCAATCATACTTACATAATCTAATTTTTTTGCAAAATCATTTTCAATGAATAACAATGCTAATTATTTTCAATGGGCCTTTAAATTTTTTAATGGATTAATTTATTTTAAGTTAATTTGGGTCTTCTTTAATTTTTTTTGGACTTAAAATATACTTAATATATTAGACTAAACTATAATAAGAGAGACCCCTTTTTTGGGTATATTTTCAATGGATAACAATGCTAATTTTTTTGAATGACCTTTCAATTTTTTAATAGGTCAATTTATTTTAAGTTAATTTGGGCCTTTTTATATTTTTTTAGACTTAAAATATACCTAATATATTACACTAAATTATAATAGGAGGTGGCCTCTTTTTTGGCTCTATTTTGAAGGGCCATGGCTTTATGGTCTATGCCCCAGGGCCGGCCCTGATATGCTAGTGTATATATGTTTCAAGCCTGGTTCAATTTGTAAATTTCACATATATAATATATTTATATTTATACTTATCCATATTTTGTATTTTTAACTTTGTTGTTAAAGATAATAAATAAATAGAAATAGAAATTAATTAATAAAAAAAATTCCCAAAATAAGAGAAAGGGAGACTTATTTATAAGTCTTTTTTCAGACACTTGTGGTAGACTAAGCCCTGTGTAATTTCTTATAGAGTCTCAAGTCCTATTTAGATAGGAATGTATTCCACAAGATCCTACATAAACGTAACGTGACGTGACACTTACATAAACGTAACGTAACGTGACACCTACATAAACGAAACGTAACGTAACGTAACACCTATATAAACGTAACGTAATGTGACACCTACATAAACATAACGTGACACCTACATAAACGTAACGTAACGTGTCACGTTACGTTTCGCAAACTTAATGATTTTTTTATTTTTTTAAATTGAATGTGAAAATGTTGCTGGTTTATGTTGGTGTCACGTTACGTTTCATATAGGAAATTGAATGTTGCCATAGATCATAGGTGTCACGTTACGTTTATATAGGTGTCACATTACGTTACGTTTATGTAGATATGATCTATGGCAACATTCAATTTCCTATTCCTATATAGGAAATTGAATGTTGTCATAGATCATAGGTGTCACGTTACGTTTATGTAGGTGTCACGTTACATGTTACCATAGATCATAGGTGTCACGTTACGTTTATGTATGTGCCACGTTACGTTTATATAGATATGATCTAGGGTAACATTCAATTTCTTATATATGGTTTTGCTATTATTTATGATATTAACAACTACTATTGAGGGTAAATGTGTCAACAAACTTCCCACAAGACTTATGGGAACATAAGTTTTTTAGTAGGACCATATGCAGTATAAGTCTCCCTAATAGGACTTATAAATAATTTTCCCTAAGAAAAACACGGTAGTTTCCTAATAAAATACTAAACAATTAAAGAAATAAATAAGTAAAAAATTGAAAAATTGTAAATTTGAGTTAAACTCCTATTTGGATACTAAAATAAATGACCTCAAAAGCCATAATTACTACCTAATTACTGTTTTCTCAATTTTCTATTCAAATGCTCCAAATATTTCAAATCCATTCGATTTGCATCCGAATGTATTCATTAATACAATCCAATACAGCATAGTATTCACAATAATGATCTCTACCATAAATGTAAATTTTATCACCATAACATTATTAAAATTTAGGAGAAACAATAGACAAGCACTACAAGGGGTAAATCCATCTTGTACACTCAAAACCAGATTAACAAACAGAAATTAGATTAGAAAAAAAAAAAAAAAAACAGTGAACAAACAGGAACTACGATCACCTTACAACATACAATGCTACATATTCAGAAAATTATATCAGCGGGGGCTGTTAGCCGGGAATATTGTTTGGCTGTCCAAACTATATTGCCCAGAAACAATGCCACCAGTATTATAAGGGCTTAATGGCACAGTGTAAAGGTCTGATGTTTCACTCATCAAACTCACACTCTCTTCTTGACAACTCACACTCTCTTCTTGGCCTTGTTGATGAACCCAAGGATGTTTAGTAAACTTCCTCAAACCTTCCAATTGCATTGCCACTTCCTTCATTGTAGGCCTCTCTTCACTTATCAATTTAAGACACCTCTTTACAAGCTCTGCAACTGTTTGTAGCTGGTCCAATGTCCCTTCCCTCACCACCCGAGGCTCGAGAATTTGAAACAACCGGTTTTCCTTCATCGACAAAATGAAATATGTCGCTAAATTTCTCTCTTCTTGAGGCCTCTCGGGGCATAAGGGTTTTTTACCCGTCATAAGTTCAGCGAGAACCACTCCAAAACTGTAAACGTCGCTCTTTTCTGTCAACTGGCTCGTGTGAAAGTACTCTGGATCTAAATACCCTAAGGTACCTTGAACTAGTGTGGTTACTTGGGTTTGGTCTAGTGGGACCAACCTTGAAGCTCCAAAATCTGATATTTTCGCTGTGTAGTTATCGTCTAGTAATATATTGGCGGACTTTACATCTCGATGAATGATGGGTTTGGAAGCTGCAGAGTGAAGATAAGCAAGTGAACCTGCAGTTTCCGCGGCTATCCTTAAACGATGGTCCCACGATAGCCAAGACAACGCACTTTTGTGGATGTGGTGGAAAAGTGTGCCATTCGACACGTATTCATAAACTAGTAGAGGAACTTCGGTCTCCAAACAACATCCCAAGAGCTTCACAACATTTCTATGGTTGACTTGTGTGAGAATGACCACCTCATTGATGAATTGCTCTATTTGGGTCTCATCCATTATTCTAGATTTTTTAATTGCGACTATGCGTTGATTGGGCACGATTCCTTTGTAAACAACACCGTAACCACCTCTGCCTAGGATTCGATCCTCAGCGTAGTTGTTGGTGGCTTTTTTCAGCTCTTCTGCTGTAAAGATTTTTGACGACTCTAGGCCTCCTTCATTTGATGAAATTTGTTGTTTCATCAATAACCCACCATTTTGTTGAAAGAATTTCTCTCTGAGTTTGATATGTTGCCTTCTCTTGATGCTGAAGTATAGCAAAGTCACAGCAATGAGTAATGACAAGAAGCCAAAGCTCAATCCTGCAAAAAAAAAATTTGAATTAACCCATAAACTAATCTCTATAGAAACTAAGTAATTTTGTAATTAGTCATACGAATTTAGTGACATCATGCTAATCTTTCTTGTTTTTTGTTTCACTATTGTTTCCCTGAAAATGGAACACTTAATTTGTCTCAGTGTTGAAATTGAACAATGTTTACATTTGTTTTTGGCAAAATTAGTTACCATCTATGAACTAGAAAATCATTGTAAACCATTTCAATGTTGTTTGATAGGACATAGAACTTTCATGGGCATTAAAACAAATGGTATTAATTAACCTTGAAATGAAATATCCCTGTCCAATATGAAAATCTATTTATGTGACAATAAATTCAGGCAAATTATACGTACCTAAAGAGAGCTTGATTACTGGAAATTGTGAGACCTGCTTGATGCACCCATGCCCATCTCTTCTGCCATCGCCATAGTATCCATGTGCACAAGTACAGTTAAAACTTCCTGGCGTGTTAATGCAAATCGCATTCACATCACAGTTGTTGCTGTCGCAATTAATACACTCGTTGATATCTGCAAAAGAAGCATTCCAAGTTTACAACACATAATTTAGTGTATGTCTGTTGTATCAATGCAACTCTCTCCAGTCTAAATCTCTTCCTTAATATTATTGTTAAGGAAAATGATAAAAACACAAAAAATTTCAGCACTGTATTCTGTGAAATTTCTCTGCATTCTTGCTAGTTTACCCATTTCATTGTGGATTATGAGTGAAATATGAGAAATCCTAAAGCAGGTTATGAGCGAAAGATGAGAAAGCCCAAGTGTACAGAGAAATTTCATAAAATAGGAGACAGATGTGAGATAAAGGGTGAGACGCTGTGTTTCATTTTGCGAAATTCTTTTGTGCTCCAAGCACAGATGGTGAAAGATTGATACATATAGCATAACAAACTAACCTTGGCATCCAGGACTGAGATAAGGGTTGCCCTCATAACCCTTGTTGCAGCTACAAAGGTACCCTCCAAAACCACTGTCTAAATCAGCGCAGTAACTATTCTGCTGGCATGCTAAGGTATTCAACTTTTGATCTTCACTGCAACTCTGCCCAACCACCCAATCAAGCACCACCGGTACACTATCCATGGTCCTGTTTCTGAAATTTGGATCCAAAAAGTCCGATACTCCGTTGAACTTAAAACTGTCCTCCGCACCCAAAAAGGCATAACTACAAGGATCAAAGCCCCAAACCTTGCTGTGATTACCCAAAGAACTTAATGAAGCAAAATACATTTTTAGGCCTTTGGGTATTGAGGTTTGACAACAACCAATGCCAGTACAATACCCATCAAGCACATCAACACTTCTGGAGCAGAGTGAAACACATCCACTAGTGAAATTTCGCCCTTCTGAGCCTAGAATCAGAGCAAAGTCATCACATCCAATGACAGTGAACTTGTTTGCAGTGTCTGAGAAGGTGTATGGGGAGTCACCCAATTTAGTCCAAGCCGTGTTTTGGTGGATCAGTGCACCGGATTGATTGTAGCAATTGGAGGCCACCGTATTTTTAATGCGAACTTGGGTGTCTGATATGTCAAAAACTTCAAGACTGCCCAATAAGGGCTTGGGGGGATTGGAAGCAGTGCTGCAATTGATCTCAAACCATGAGCCAATGGAACAGCCTGATCCAACTCCAATGCCGAATGGGTATGGAACGGTTAGGTTGCCACATTTGAGTGGGCAGCCAGGCTTGCTGACCATGAAGCCGCTGGTGGTTGTGTTGGTGGCGGTGGCAGTTGTGTTGGTAGATGTGGTGTTGGTCTCCAATGCGGCTTGTGCTGATAGGAGCCATGACAGACACAAAAACAGATTGAGAGACATGCTTAAGGATGGATACAGAGAAGGGGCATAAACATTTAAAGAGAGATTCAAAACTATTAATGTTTTTGAGAGTTGTCTATTTTTTCTTTCCACACATAGACATAGAAATTATATTATTTATATTTTGGGTAAATTACTAATAAGTCCTAATAGTTGGACTTAATTCTCATCAAGTCCTATTGAAAATAAGGCCAAGTTTGGAAAGACAAAATAAGTGCACTTTTTGACTTTTTATGAAATATGGGTTGGATTTGGGTTGGGTTTGAAGTGATGTGTTAGAGAGGTGATGTGACTTAAATGAGATGATGTGACTTAAATAGGATAGTGACTTTTTAACTTTTTGGATTTTTTGGAAGATGCCATACTTGGCTTAAGTTTTGGTAAAATTGTCGCTAAAAATAATTTTTTTGTGACAATTTGTTATTTATGTTGCTAAAAATTAACAATTAGTGACTTTTTTTGTTATGATTTTTATAAATTGTCGCTAAAATTTACAATTAGTGACTTTTTTATGACAAATTTTTTTCATAGAACTTTTTAGATAATAAATCTACTTATTAGGACCTACACATAAGTACCCCAAATATCTCTGTATATCTGCAAAAGAGTAACCAGTTGGTATATGGGGACGATTCAAGACTTTGTATATTTGTGAAAGAACAGCAGCCAAAAAAATACTTCAAAATTAAAACATGTGAACTATATCTAGTCTAGGTATAACTCATATCAATTCAAGTTTGCATTTACACCACATAATTCATTTTGGAGATACTTTTCAAAGTATTTTTTAAGAAATAATGTGTAAATCAACTCATATTAAATGTAATTATCATTTAACACAATTCAATAACTCTCATATCTCTATAATAGAGTTCACTATAGGCACATAGTAGCTTATTATTAATTAGTAATATCCGTGAGTGATAAAGTGATATCACTGTTCATAATGACGCGGTATCAATAATCCATTCAATTTTTTTCTCTAAGAGAATACAATGGTGTTGTATATATTTCAACTTAAGGTTGCCTTAATAGTTTAATAGCAAGAGGCTACCAAATTCCTCGCCTGTGATGTAAAGTAGTGATCACTTACCAATTACAAATTGCAAATCATTGACTACTAACCAAAAGGTCAGAAGCCTCCAAAGGGCAGCAATATTGGAATTGAAAAGGGTTGACTTTGACAAATGGCAGTAGTACAAGTAAATGGTTTTTTTCTTTATAGCAAATAGATAGCATGCTTTGCGGCTTTAGAGCATCTCCAACCCATCCTTCATATCTTCAAATATGAAGGATGGTCTCCTCCAACCCACCCTTCAAATTCATCTCCATTTGGGAGGAGAATGAGTTCATCCTTCATATTTGAAGGGAGGATGAAAAAATGAAGGATCCCTCCAAAACACTATTCATTTTGTATTTCTTATTATATTACAAATAACTTTTAACTTGTAAATTTAATTTTTATAAAACTGACATCATTAAAAAGTATAAAATCATACCTTTAAAATGAGTATAATATTAAATATATTTTACAAAAATTTTAAAATTAAATATTTATTAATGAATAAAAATTACTTTTTGAATAGAGTTTGAATGAAGGAAATGAAGGTTTGTGGTTGGAGTTTGAATGAATAGTGACCTCCTCTATATTTACTTTTTGAATAAAAAACATTATTTTCGTCCTCTTAGTGAGAGTATTGCATTGGAGATGCTCTTAGAATGGGTCAAAAGTCATCGAGGATAACAAGAGCTGTCAACCATGTGCTGAGGATAATCATGATTATCCCCAAAAGTCTTCTCATATCCAATTATTTTATTGCAAATTGATCATCAATTATACACCAGTTACGGCTTTTCAGAAACAAACCTTACCCACCTAACACCAAGAGCTTCCAAGCACTTCCATACAAACTGTGGCTGTTGATTTTTATGTCCCCAGACAAACATTATTAAACAAAGTCATTAGCACAATTTTAAACAAAAATGCTATCAACCATCAAAATGTAGTTGAATTTTATCTTGTGTATATTTCAAGTTAGGAAAATGTGAGATGATTAAGAATTTGTTTTGTGTAGATATTATATATAAGGTGATGTCAAAACAGATTGTCACATAGTATTAGTAACTTTGAATATTTTTAAGGGCAAATTATATAAGTAGTCCTTATAGTTTGGGACTCGTGTCACTTTAGTTCCTGACTTTTCAATTGTGACATATTTGATCATGAATTTTGAATCTTTTTCCAAATAAGGACAATTGAAGATACCATTGTTTAATTTCAAGGACAAAATCGTCAGTTTAATAAAATATAAACTAATTTGACAAAAATAAATGTCAAAAAAATATTTTTAATTTTTAAAAAATTATTTTTATCCACCAATGATAAAATTATGTAAAATTGATAAAAATTAATAAAAATTACATGATTAATTTTTTAAAATTAATTTTACATGATCATCATCAAAACACATAATAAAAATTAATTTGGTAAAAAAATAAATAAATGTCGAAAAAATTTATCAATTTTACATAATTTTATTTTTAGTGGGTAGAAATAATTTTTAAAAATTCAAAAATATTTGTTTGACATTTATTTTTATTAAATTAGTTTATATTTTATCAAATTGACGATTTTACCCTTGAAAAATCTAATGATATTTTCAATTGTTCTTGTTTGGAACAAGATTCAAAATTCATGGTCAAATGTATCACAATTAAAAAGTTAGAGATCAAAATGATACAAATCCCAAACTATATACACTATTAGTGTAATTCATCCTATTTTGAAATGAGATTGGGTGAGAATCACATGGTTGTTATTATGCCCATTCGGATTGGATATTGAGACTCATTGTATATCTTTTTTTCTTTTTGGTATTGAAACGCTTGCTTACATTAAAAAAAGAAAATATAATGTCAATCCAATTTTACTAATTCAGTCATGACTTGGGCGTCGTTTGACAAGTAGTGATTTTAGTCAAAAATTTATTAAAAAAATCAAAAAGTCAACAATTTATATCAAAAAGTCAAAGATTTTTTTTTATCTATTTTTTTGAACATCTTTTTGTAAAAAATAAAAAAAGTCATTCCAAATAAACTAATTTTTTTTTTATATTATATTTTAGTCAAAAAATTACAAAAAAAATATGTTTCCAAACAAGGCCCAATATTTGTTGTTTTAATCCTAACCACTTTGAGTCAAATTGGAATATGACATATGCCTTTTTAAATGGTACGTACGCATGTCCAGAACAAACCTTAAATGATTAAAGCAACTATTATTAAGAATTGATACACTAACTAAAATTGGTGAGATATGAAATATAAATATATACAAAACAAAATCTAAATCAATCACATAATAAAATAAAGATTTATATGATTTATCTTGTAATAGAGGTGCGTGGACAATCATTACAGTTTCACTATAATCTAAAAAGAAATATAATACAATATAGTGTGATACCACATTTCAACAATAAATATGAAAATAGGATAGTTTTGACATTTACCAAACGTCCGTGACTTTCCCGACGTGATCAAAATCCAACATTTGCCTAACTTGAGTAGAAAATCACCAACATGTATTACTGACCTTTGAGAAGCATCACAAAAATAAATGGCCGACAACATTAATGTCAGCAATATCTTAGACGACAAGCAAATGACAAAGCAACAAATAAGTGTTCGAATTAACATTGACAGATTAGGTTCGAAAGACTCATATTCGATTGAAAACGGTCCAACTATCAAAGTTCACTGCTTCACTATAACCCATGATTTAGGTTGAGATATGTTACATTAAGGCATTCAACACTTTTCTTCGTATAACTTGGCATATTTAATTTGAATCAGGTTGGGCGCGCACAAGTGTAAAACAAGTCAAAAAGTGTTCAAAAGCCTACTAGGGGTGGGCGCGGGTCGGTTGCGGCCATGGAACCTCCAATCCGCCATCCGTCCGCCAGATTGACGGATTGGAGAAAATCAATCCGCATCCGTCCGCCAATCCGGCGGATGTGGATTGAGCGGATTGGCGGATATTGCAATTTTTTTAATATACCTCAACTGTATAATCACTTTGGGTTGGAATATCTTGGAAAAATATCATGGCACTTCCTCAAATTTCTGTTTTGTAGTTCTTCAGTCAATGACTTAAAAAAGTATTACAATTACTGCATGCCTCATCCAAAGAAAGAAAGTTTGAAACTTTAGAATATCAAAATCACTGCATATCTCATTCACATATTACAATCACAGCATGCCTTATCCACATAAAGTATTACAATATATGGTTCTTAAAATATAAAAATAATTCAAACCACCAAAACCATGAACATAGCAGTAGTAGAGATTGTATGTCTCTGTATTGTTATATTTATATATGTTTTTGAAAACAAAAACCAACCAGCATATATCATATTTTCTATTTATTACTTTTAGAGTTAGATTTAAAAACAAAAAAATATAAATAAATAATACGTTTATTTTTTTCAATTCAAAAAATATATTCAAGTTGAAAACTTTTTTTCAACAGAAAGTTTAAACTCTTTTTCAATTGAAAACACAAACAAAATATTTAAATAAATTGAAAACACAAAGTCTTATAAATTATTAAGGGTGCTGGCGGTTTGGTGGTTCGGTTGCGGCCAAAGGGACCTCAAATTCGCCATCCGTCCGCCAAATTAGTGGATTGGAGAAAATCAATCCGCAACCGTCCGCTCGTCATTACGCATCCGTTCAAAATGCGGCGGATCGGTTCGGTTCGGTCGGTTTTGACGGATCGGTATATCCGCTGTTCACCCCTAAAGCCTACAGAAGTATGTAAACATTTTTGCACGTGCAACGCCTGTGGCCAACATTTCTTGCATGTACAATTTTATCTTAGAAAGCGTGCGTGACTTTTTGAACCTACTTTGCTGGTTAGGGTTCAAATATTTTTTCAAAAGAATGGGAGAGGCTAGGGTTTTGGAGGAGAGAACTTGGACTTTGAAGTGGCATTTCCATGGCGACTTCAACCTCTTCATCATCTTTTCACCAATGTTTTCAAACTCGGACCAAACCGGCCGGTCAGACCGGTTGAACCGGAAACGGGCCTTGTTCCGGTCCGGTCAACCCCCTAAATCTGGAGTGGGAGCAAAATCGAGAAAAACCGGTGACCCAGTGGTCAAGCCAGGAAAACCGGTGACCCAGATCGGGTCAAGAGGGTCGGATCGGTTTGTTTTTTCTAATTTTTTTTATTTTCTTTCTTTCTTTTTTATATATTTATATATATATATATATAGGATTCAATCAAATTATTTGAAACATATTGATTGGAGGAAGAGTTGAAAATTTCATTTCCCTTTAAAATTAAATCTAGCATTCAATCAATTTATTTGGAGGGAATGTTTAAAAAATTTAATTTCTTTAAAATAAGTGATTTTTTTTTTATCAATTATGACTTTATTAAATATTATTAATAAATACTATGCAACAATTTTTATTTTTATTTGATTATTTATATATATATTTATTTATTTATAATTTATAGTTATTTTTTTAATTACATAATATTAATTATGACGTCACGGTTCGACCGTTTTGACCCGACGGTTGAACCGGTGACCCGTCCACCCGATTCCTTTTCCGATTAGCTCACCGGTCCGGTTTTGAAAACATTGCTTTCCACCTCTTCATAAGTGAGCTTCTCTTTCTAGCGTTTTGATGAAACCCTAGCCATGTAAATAGAGTTTTAACTTGGCTTTGATTGTTTAAATGGTTTTCGCAAGTTGTATAAATGTTTTAGAAGTTTTAATTGCAATTTCTTTCTATTTTTTTTAGTATACTTTCTGTGATTGTTGAATGTTTTTCGTACAATAGTTTTCTATGTGATGCATTCAAAATTTGACACGAGTCATGCTACGAGAGACAAGTTGTGTTATTACCTTAGTTTAGAGCAAATGACTCGTACGATTTGAGATGATTTGTGTCTATATATTGAACACAACAATTTTCTTAATCAAAATTTCAAACTTGTAATTGTAAAACATTAAGTAGTTCAAATCGTATTAAAATTAGATGCCGATGTTAAACCCTATTTACGTAACTAGTGGTTCATTCTCTGCCCTAAGTTTTTCCCCAAATCAAATTCTCAACTTTAATCTGTATCGTTAATTTAACTTCTCTTTTCAATTTAATTCTAGTTTCAATATAATTCTCATCAATCTTTTTATCAGAATTAATTTAGGAATCTTGTAAGTTAAATTAGTTTAATTTTACATAAGTCTCTTGAATCGACACGTGGACTTGTTATTATTTTAAAGCATTGGAGCATAATTTAGTATTGATTTTTATTGTGCAAAATGGCCCATCAACCCATAACTTTACAATCTGGAGATAATATGTACAGCCTAATACTATCCATGAATCAAATGACTTTAGGATTTCTCAACTATTATAAATTTGGTTGTAAGCGGCTACCTAACTTTTGATTATTAATTAATTAAACTTCACAGAACTCGTATTTTTTTTATTACACAATTCTTGCTTCAACACGCCTCACTCCATCACATCAAATCTCCGGTCTATCACATTATGGAAACAATTATGAAAAGAAAATGCAAACCATGTTAAAATATACAAAGTGGCATCAAACAAATGGCAAAACACATACAAATAAACCTAGGAAAAGTATAAGCATACATGAGCTTACTTCACCTTATTATACTACAAATCAAAAGGAAATGATCGAAAGTTAACGAGGGCTGTTGATTGGGAATATCATACCACTGTCCAAACTGTACTGTCCAGAGATTTCACCATGAGTAGTACTTGTATTATATGAGTTCATTTGTACAGTGTAAAGGTCTGATGGTTCACTCATTAACCCCTCTGTCTCTTCTTGGATTTCTTGATTAACCCATGGATGTCTTGCAAACTTCCTTAACCCTTCCAATTCCATTGCCACTTCCTTCATTGTAGGCCTATCTTCACCATTCATGTTTAAACACCTCTTCACAAGCTCAGCAACAGCTTGAAGTTGCTCCAATGTCCCTTCCCTGATCACTCTTGGATCAAGAATTTGAAACAAGCGGTTTTCTTTGATCGACATGATGAAATACGTAGCTAGATTTCTTTCTTCTTGAGTTCTCTCCATGCAAATTGGTTTCTTCCTGGTTAAAAGTTCAGCAAGAACTATCCCGAAGCTGTAAACATCGCTCTTTTCTGTTAATTGGCTCGTGTGGAAGTACTCGGGATCTAAATAACCTAATGTCCCTTGGACTAGGGTGGTTACTTGAGTTTGATCCAAGGGAACTAGTCTTGAAGCTCCAAAATCTGATATTTTTGCAGTGTAGTTATCGTCTAAGAGTATGTTGGCTGACTTGACATCTCGGTGTATGATGGGCATTGAAGCAGCAGAATGAAGATAAGAAAGTGCACCGGCGGCCTCAGATGCGATTCTTAAGCGATTCTGCCAAGAAAACCATGGTATTCCTCCATTTTTGTGGATGTGGTGGAAAAGAGTGCCATTCGAAACATATTCATAAACCAATAAGGGAACTTCAGTTTCCAAACAACAACCCATGAGCTTCACCACATTTCTATGGTTGACTTGTGTGAGAATGACAACCTCATTGATGAATTGCTCTATTTGGCTCTCATCCATTATTCTAGATTTCTTAATTGCAACTATGCGTTGATCGTGCATAATCCCTTTGTAAACAACTCCATAACCACCTCGGCCTAGGATTCGATCCTCAGCGTAGTTGTTGGTGGCCTTTTCTAGCTCATCTGCTGTAAATATTTTTGACGACTCCACGCCTCCCTGGTTTGATGAAATTTGTTGTTTCATCAACATTCCACCATTCTGTTCAAAGAATTTCTCCCTGAGTTTGAAACGCTTCCTTTTCTTGATGCTAAAATATAACCAAGTTATGGCAATTACTATGGACAAGAAGCCAAAGCTCAAACCTGTGTGAAATATTGAAACAACAAAATAAATACAATAAAGTAATTTTTATTTTTGTCAATCAGTGGAAGAATATTTGTACTTACAAATGATTTTAATTTGACAATATGATATGTGAACTTAATTACCTAGGGAGAACTTCACCACCGGGAATTGTGAGTTAACGGCAATGCAACCGTGCCCATCTTTTCTGCCATCACCAAAGTATCCATGAGGGCAAGTACAATTATAACTCCCCGGAGTGTCGATGCAAATTGCATTTGTGTCACAGTCATTCATGTTAGAATTGGCACACTCATTAATATCTGGCAAAGAAGAGTCACAAGACCTGTATATGTTATTTCGCTTCATAATGATCACTAGTTACTACTATACTAAATCCACTATAAACTACCTTCATTAATTTGAGTAAAAAGACAATTCAAAATTAGAAGAAAAAAAATTCTAAGGATACAAAATCCGATCATAGAACTGTTAGGATATCATGTTCAGTGACCAGATTTTGTTTATACTAATCATAAGTTACGACTGCACTAAACCACTATAAACCCCTTTCATTAATTCAAGTAAAAAAGCAATTCAAAATAAGAAAGGAAAAAATAAAATTCTAAACGTACATATTCCGATCACACTGGTTATATGATCGGATTCTGTGCAAGTAGAAAGCTGATGATAAGAAAACGACCTTGGCAGCCGGGACTGAGATAAGGATTGCCCTGATAACCTTGGTTGCAGCTGCATCGGTACCCTCCAAGACTGCTATCCAAGTCAACGCAGGTACTGTTCTGCTGGCACACCATGGCATTCGAGTTCATGGCTTGGCTGCAGTTCTGGTTTTTACCAACCACCCAGTCAATCACCACCGGAACATAATCTCTCGTCCTGTTCATGAAACTCAGATCAGAAAGATCCGATGCACCTCGAAAATTAAATACATCCTGCTCACCCAAAAAAGCATAGCTGCAAGGATCAAAAGGCCAAACAGTTGTGTGGTTTTTCAAAGTACTAAGCGAAGTTAAGAACTTTTTAAGGCCTTTGGGTATAGAGGTTTGACAACATCCGATTCCCGAGCAATACCCACTAAGCACGTCCTCGCTTTTGGAGCAAAGTGAAACACAACCACTAGTGAAGTTTCGACCTTCTGAGCCAGATATGAGGGCGAAGTCATCGCAACCTATGACGGTGAACTTGTTAGCAGTGTCGGAGAAAGTGAGGTAATATGCTGGGAGATCAATCCACACGATGTTTTCGCTCGTTATGCCACCCGTTTGGTTGTAGCAGCGAGAGGCAACCCAGTTCTTGATGCGGATTTGGGTGTCTGATAAGCTTATTACCTCGAGGTTGCCGGTTTCTAAGAAGGGTTTTGGAGGGTTGAAAGAAGTGTTGCAGTTGATGTCGAAAACTGGGTCTATGGAACAGCCTGATCCGATGCCAATGCCAAATGGGTATGGAACTGTTAGGTTTCCACATTGGCTTTGGCAGCCGGGTTTGGCGATGGTGGTAGCGTTGGCGGTGGAGCTGGTGGAGGCTGTAGAGGCCAAGGAAAGGCAGGAGAGGAGGAGAAAGAATGAACCAAGGGGTGAAAACATGGCTTTTTTCATGTTTTATTGAGGATGAAGATGAACACAAAGGTGTTGCCTTCTTTAATTAAAGACTACATATATATAGTCAAAGCATTATATTGAAAGGGTAAAGCTTTGACCATGCAGAAAAACTAGAAAACCATAAAAAAAAATGTTCAAAAATTTACATAAAATATTGAAAACCATTTAATGTTTTTTTAATTATTTTTTGAGTAAATTGAGTACCTTCCTGTTGAGCAAGTATATTTAAATATAAATATTGCTCATACGGTAAAACTTTAAAAAGTCCACAATCTCTTGAAATGACCCACCTAAATTTAAAATTCTCAGTTTTTATTCATTTTTTAAATTTTGAAAAATGATTTAATTAGTGTGAGTATTTGAAAATAGAGAAAAAATAAAAATAAAAATTTGAGGACAAGAAGGCTGATTCAAAGAATAATAGCTCCAAATGTCGATCTCCACAAAATTAGAGCATATTTCCTATTCTACTTGAGAAATTATTTAATATTCTTGAACAAATTCTGATAATACTCTAAATGAGTAGTTATTAATTTAAATCATGAAATTTACTATTTTTATGTTAAAATTTTAAAAGATAAAGTATTAAATATCGGCTTGTGAATGAAATAATGAAACATTACTCCCAAACCATTGAATAATTTCCCATTCTACTCAGCAAGTTGACTTTGGAAAGCAGTCCATGTTTTTGCTGAAGAACATGCTCTTAATTCATAGTCACCACCACCATCAACCAATTAATTACTATAAAACATTCATGAACAAATGCAAGGGGGTCGTTGACTATGTATGCAATCTTTTAACGCTGTTTATGGCATAAGAACATGTGCAAATTTGCTGATAATTAGGATTTGTTTGAGAATTAATTTTTTAAATAATTTTTAATTTTTTTATTAAAAAATGTATAAAAAATAACGATTATGAATTGATTTTTTTGTATTAACTTTTAAATTTTTTCAACTAATTTAACCTATTCCAAACAAGATCTTACTATTAGTCGTTAGTATTATTCCTTTTGTATTATCCCTAAAGTTCAATCTAATAGCTAGCTTTAGCCTCTAATTAATGAGCTTTTAATCTCTCTATCACCAACCATCACCACCCATGCCATCATTTTTTATATACATTTTCTATTTATTTACCTAATAATTTGTTTTATTTGCAAATTTTCATGCCAAGTTGCCACGTAACTGTGGGTGTTTTTATGTGCTCTCAAAGATTATGTATTTAATATTTATTTTTTGAAGAGAAATCAATTCATTATGATGCCGTTCTCGAAGCTCATTAGCTTAGTCATTGTCCCAAGGGCAAAGATGTGATGGTATTCTTAAAAAAATCGAATACAGTATTATTGTCAAACTTTCAACTAATGCATATTTTCATTATTACTCTCAAATTTTTTCATTGAATCGACTGATTTGGAAACCAATCTTAACCCCAATAAATTATTGGGATAATTTTATTTCAGTATAAATTTAGAAAAATATTTTTAAATTAATGATAAACTTTATAAATATTAAAAAGTGAAATCATAAAGTTTTTCATAGATGTGTAATTAAATTGTGAAAATTCTACTGATATTGAATTTCCCCTAAATTATTTACACCTAAAAGATATTGAACCTAACACTTAAAAAAAGTACATCCTTAAACCCCAAACCTTGATCAGGCTAACTCCTTGGAGACGTTTCATGGCCAACAGCTCGCTAGGAGTCTAGATCCTCAGCCGCCCTCTCCAGCGGCCGTTCCTGTGGCGCCCCAAAACGACGTCGTTTTGGGGCCAAATTTCAATTAAAAAAAAAAAAAAAGACAGTGGAGGAGCAAAGGAGAAGAAGAAAGAAGGGAGGATTGAGAAGGGGAAAGAGAAGGGGGTAGAAGGGAAAAGAGGAAGAGAATCGAAGCTTTTTTTCCTTTTAACCTGGAGAGGGCGGCTGAGGATCCGGATTCAGTGGTGAGGCGGTCCTAGGAGAGGAGGAAGATGGTGGCGAAGGTGTAGCAGTAAATTCTCAGTAAAGTACTCAGTAAATTCTGAGTAAATTCTCAAAAATTTGCTTAGTATATTCATAACGCCATCAAAATAAACCCATAAATCATCCAACAATAGCATGCTTAGACATAAGATAATAAAGCTTAAATATATTCCATCAGTGTAATCATTACAAGATGTATTACATGTTGACAACGAAAGTAAATGCCCTATGGGCTTACAACTTTCTAAGTCAACACTTGGTTACAAAAAGAGAGTACTAACTCTATACAAAGAAAGCCCTTGGCTTGATATACATGTAATACATCAAAAGAAAACAAAACAACAGAAACAGTCTGTCTGCCTCTAGTCTCCCAAGCTATGTCTTTGGAGGTAGCATGTTACCTATACCTCAAAATGATGTCCCATAAAGGGTGAGCCACAGCCCAGTAGAAATATACTAAACCCACTATAAACAATGACTAAAATAATAGTATTCAATAGATGGTCCACACTTGTATTCCAACGTATGTCGTATTACAGTTTCACAACAATCATGCCCATGGCACACTTCAGTTTCCATTTCTTATTCAACTTTGAGTTTGAAAACAAGGCTTAGGACCTAGCCAAATAACTTAATGAGATTTAGACTCATCTTCAAAACACTTTCGAAATTCATGATGGATACACATTTTGGTGCTGTATTAATAACACATAGAAATACTTCTATACTTCGCAATTGATAACGATATACATTTTAGTGCTATATCATATCAATTCAAACACTTTCATAATCCACACTTGATACATATTGTAGTGCTGTATCAATGTCACACGAAATCCGGTTTAGAGGTCCATCCCCTATCTTCCTCTAAACCGTGGAGTATATCCCCTATCTCCTTCCACACACAATGTATATAAACATGGATCATATCACAATCAATCAATACATCAAGTTAATGTATTATTCCAATCGCTATACTCGATAGCATACTCAATCGATTAGTTTTAGTTTGCCTAATCATCATGCATTGTCTACAACAATCAAGACTATCCTCCACCGATAGCCCAAAGCAGTTATTTCTAAACAGAAAATAAATGCACCAAATGGATAAAATATCAAAATTTCAACTAGGTGAGTGATAAATGATCCAATTGCCCCCTTTAATCTCATATGTTCCCAATTTCAACATTTTCAATTCAACTTCTCATTTCTCAAAATTAATTTCACAAATTAATTCATCAATGTAATTAGGGCATTTCCCATAATTAACAAAACAGCCCTAAGTTTCCATTTCTATCAATAACCCAACATTTATCTCATTTCTCCATGCTAAACATGCATATAGGCTTATATAAATAAAACCCCATCTTTTATAAAATTACACAAAGACCTAAACTTTCTCAAAATTACTCAACAATCCCCAACATATTGAAATGTTAAAATTTAAAGACAAAACTCATAAGGAGGAGTATGATATCCCTACCTCGAAGTTAGAGCTCAAATGGAGAAGGAGACCAAACTCAAAATGCTCCAAATTTCAACCTTTTCGGATCAAAACGAAGCCCTCGACGATCAACACACCTTTTACAAAGACAACAAAGTAGTGGGACACTCTAGCTAGATCAAACCCTGGAGAGAAGGGAGATTCTAGAGAGAGGAGCTCTCAAAATTGATTTTGGGAAAGTAAGAGAGAGAGAGTGAATGTAAAAAGTGATTCAAAAGTGCCCAGCTGCCCACTGATATACGACACTTCCGCTCGAGCGGAGAATAGAACGCTCGAGCTTCAAGCACAAAAATCTGGACACGCTCGAGCGCAAGAAAGCCCGCTCGAGCTCCAAGACACAAGAATAAAATACATCCGCTCGAGCGCGAAAACCAGTCTGTTCGAGCATGGATTTCCCTCTCCCAGAACTTTCACAGACAAAGCACTACCCACTCGAGCGCGACCCGCTCGAGCGTAGGAAACCCGCTCGAGCGTGAAAAACACACCTGCAGAAGTTTTGCAGAGACACAAGATACTGGGAGTATGTAAATCCCGCTCGAGCGCAAGAAGGCCCGCTCGGGTGGACAACCAAAAACCAAAACTCCGCTCGAGCGCAGAATGACCCGCTCGAGGGTAACACCAAAAACCTGGGCAACTACACTTGAGACCAAAACTCAACCTACCTGTTCAAAACACGCCCAACACATCCTAAAACTCAAACATATGGAATTAAAGGGTGATAATAAGATAAACAACCACCAACTCCACGGAAACAAAGTCCGGAATACAACAATTACAGAAAGGGAAAACCAGAATCGCTATAACCTTCCCCCCTTAAAGAATTTCGTCCCCGAAATTAAATACAAGTTCTTCAAAAACAAGATTTTCTCAATTCCCAACAATATTACTACATAATATTAAACAACTTGGCCCATTACTGGCCAATCTCATCTCTTTTCAAGAGGCAAATCACATTGTATATAACAACCTGCATTACCAGCATGCATTCCTTTGAAATTTTACCAATTTCAACACATTCTCCACAATTCTATAACACTTGCAACATTAATATCATGCTTGCATTTTCACAATATATTTAACATACACAATGTTAAAAAATAACTCCCATCAATCACAACATATACAATGTTTTACAACTTAAGACATATTCAATGTTTTTAAAGTTCACAATATTACAAAATTACTAATGCATGATTAAACATCAGTAAACAAATTCGGATATTTCTCGCGGACCTCCAACTCACGTTTCCAAGTGGCCTTCTCCACTCCATGATGTTTCCACAAAACCTTTACCAAGGGAATGGTCTTGCCTCGCAAGACTTGATCCCGCCTATCCAAGACCCGAACCGGTCTCTCCTCATACGAGGTATCCTCATCTACTTCTAAGTCGGTCTAATCCAATGCATGCGATGGATCCGGCTCATACTTCCGAAGCATACTCACATGAAACACGTCATGCACTCCGGACAACTGCGGCGGCAAAGCCAAACGATAAGCAACCTCCCCAATCATCTCAAGGATCTCAAAGGGACCGATAAACCGAGGGGAT